CAAGCAGTACATCGCCATCCCTCGTGAGTTGTTCGCGTCTGAGTAGTATCATACCGGGTAAGCGCAGTTCTGAATACAGAATATCGGCCCCTCAGCCAAGCTGCGGTAACTCGGCTAAAGAATGACCCGTTGGCTAGTTTGACAGCACAGTTGATCGAGGAAGCTATAACAGTCAAAGTAGACACAGATTACGAATCACGAATCACGGGCGAAACTGAAGCACTGAATCGACTAGCACTTGTATGCTGAAATTTCTCGTCGCGGAGACGCTGGAAGAAGGTCACAAAAGTAGCAGTTCGTTAATTGAAAGAAATCAATTGGATTAAGTAACATTTACAAAGAAAGCTTATGGATATTAGAGTATCCATCAATGACCTGTTTGTATTCTTGACGTCATACAGCTTCTGTCTAAACAGTTTGTGGCATGTGGTTCTCTGTCCAGAAATTGTAACACGTCGCTCCGTGGCTAGGGCTACAATCACCATAGAAATTGTTTTATAACCAATGCAACCAATGGTTGACGCAGTAGCAACTGCTTAAAGTGTGAGAGGTTAATTGAACCGCCAGCCTCGTGGTCATTCAAGGGAAGTTTTTATTATGGAGGGGGACATTGGGGGCCTGGTTTACCATTTGCCGGAAAAAGCCTAAAGTTCATGGTAATCCAGATCGAGTGGTACCGACATTTTCTGCCTTGGATTCTGTATTTGTTCTAGCACCCCCGTTCCGGTAGTCTTTCTCCTGTTTCGTGTCTCGACTATAAGGCTGAATGAACAAGTTGTAGTACTCCCGAGGATATTTTCACTAACTTCTGACGGTCCTCAGTATAGGTTGGAGAATGATAAGACTGGTTAATCGCGGATGATATCCAGTGAAATCTTGGATTATCTATCCTTCTCTTTCTCTCTACAGTTATTTTGTTGATATTTCTGTTTATCTGGATCGTCCAGAGACAAGAATCCGTGGATAAACACCCCTAATGTATCCTCCGTTTCCTTTACACGAGCCGAATTATTTCGTTGGTGCCCGGCCTCGTTTCTTAGTCTGTCGGATGGAGTTCAAACTTCTTTCGTAAAAAACGCCAGGAAGAAGAACATTTACTCATCAACATAACATGATGTAACTCCAGTTGTCCGATGTGTTGTAAAGCCGGGTGGAGTTGACGACGACTGGAACTCGCTAGTTGGGCGACAGTCCCGATTGGAACAGAGCACATTCCATCGGATCAGCTCCTCGGCTGATCTGACCCTCTCGCACGTGCGCTCTATCTCCCTCACACTATGAGTTAGGAAAATGCGTACAGAGGGCTTTGGTAGGAACACAGAGTGCATCTGTATACGGGTTACGACACATTTTGAGAAGACTCAATAACAGCCAATGTGATACTGTAAAACCCGACAATAAGTCACTGGAACAGACGAGAGAGGGAGAAGAAACCGATGCTAATCAAACTATCTCTCATTCTGCACAGATGCCAAACGAACAACACTTAGTCCACAGAAAGACACTTCAAATGCCCAGCTAATGCTGCAATAATTTGCAATGAATCAAAGATGAGTGCTGTATTTAGTCGGTGAATGTTTGGATTAGTCCATTCGGCTATTGAAACAGGCACCAGGCACTGTTGATGGGATTCATTTCTTGGGAGATCGTTAATCCCTCCACGAGACAGATGAATTTAAACGTAATGGAACTGTTTGTGATGACCGACACTAAGAGCAGCACTGGACAGCTATTTCGTCCTGTATCGGGGACTTGTCAATAGTGAGCGTACACTTTTCGTATCCCTCTTTGAGGACTCGAACCGCGAACGTTCGAGTTGGGACTTCCAATCCATTCCCCTGAGCTACAAGGTGGACGATCTTGTGCGAATGACTCGATTAATTTTTAGTTGGTGAATGTTTGAACTAACGCATTCGTACTGCTAACCAGTTCCTAATAGTCATAAACCGAATGAGTTAATCCAAACATTCTGCGTCTAAATTGATTGAGCCATTCGCACAAGGTGAGATGATCATCAATCGTGCAGCTAAGGGCTAAAGGTTTGAGTGATGTATTGGTTATGAAATTTGTCAGATGGATGAAATGTGACAGCAATAATAATGATAATAATAATAATAATAATAATAATAACAACCACAATAAAAACAAAAGTAAGTCCGTCTATCCTTAAGAAAAAAAACGGGTTTATAGAAACTTCAAATATTGAGTCGCTTCTGCCCG